TTTTTGGAAGAAGTCTCTGATATTACCCAAGGCTGCAATTATTTGATAAAAAAAATATAGTAAAAACTGCAATATTGTGAAATATTATTACAATTCAAAATTACTCTTTTCTATTTAATATATTTTAAAATGTCATTTGTGGCCCTGGGCCACAAAACCAGTCATAAGGGACAATTTTTTGAAACTGAGATTTATACACAATCTGAAGCTTTCTATTGATGTATGATTTGTTATGATAGGACAATATTTGGCTGAGATATAAAAAAAAAAAAACAATCAAAATAATGAGGAAAATCACCTTTAAAGTTGTCCAGATTAAGTCCTCAGCAATGCGTATTACTAATCAAAAATTAAGTTTTGATATATTTACGGTAGGAAATTTACAAAATATCTTCATGGAACATGATCTTTACTTAATATCCTAATGATTTTTGGCATAAAAGAAAAATCATAATTTTGACCCACACAATGTATTGTTGTCTATTGCTACGCGCTACTTATGACTTGTTTTGTGGTCCAGGGTCACATTTATCCCCGTGATGGCAAAGCTGCATTACACCAGTTTTAAATGTCACATGATCCTTTAGAAATAAATGTATATCATCAATGTTGAAAACAGGTGTAATATTTAACATTTATGTGAAAACCATGACACATTTTTGCAGGATTCTAAAAGGAACAGTATTTATTTAAGATACAAATCTTTTATTTAATCTTTTAACAGTCTGACCACAATAAAAGTGCCTGCCAGGACAAAACCAGGCTGGGAGACCAGCTGTAAAGCTTAGGCTGGTTTATTATTATTTTTTTTTTTTTTTTAATTGAGTAAATTGTTTTCATAGTATGAGTTTATCAGTGCGAAGTCCTAACAAACTTATTTATGCTGATACTGTTTGCTGCTGATACTGATAACTTTGCCTTGGGCATTCCTAAACTTTTAGTGGCAACATTCTTTCTGACATTTTTGTTTTTGTTTTGTTTTTTCACAAGGGAGTCTAGATATTACAATAACATCTCATTCAAATGACAACGTCTTTTTACAGTTCAATGTCCCCATCACTCTACTGGGGCATTATGAATGACAGAGAGCACACACCTGACTAGCATTAACCGAATGACTGCAGATCACTGTCAAAGCCATACCTTGTCTCGTCCGAACCTGCGGAGGAAGCGATAGGGCCAGGAGTAGAGAACCTCTCCCGTCTTCGGTTCCTTCAGAAGGAGGCTATCAAAATCAGTCCGTAACAGCACTGTTCCTTTCAGGCTGCATCTCTCAGAAGCCTCTGTATGCCTCACCGTCACCTTAAAGTCTTTCATTGCTGAAGACAACAGAAAGGAAAAGCTTTACATAAACAGTGTGCCAAAAGAACACAACATATATCAACCACTTGACACTTTTTCAGATGAAAAATAACAGTGGATTCAGCTGACTTGTGGCCTACTGAAGGCTTATGAGTGTCTTTGCGGTTATATCTTTCAAAACCTTTTAAAAAACTGTATTAGGAACTACATCTGATGGGTAAACACAAATGGGGTTCTATAATCATAAAAATGTATAACTATGTAATAAATGATATAATATTTAAAGCCTTTTCTCTGTGAATGAATATACTGATTCAACTCTTTTTGGAAGCAGATGGAACGTATCAGAGGTCATTCTCACATATGTACAATAATTCAAAGCAGATTTCTTTTGATGCAACATGTACGCAATATAATTGGTTTTTCACACAAGTGTACAGATTTAGCACATGCACTACTGAGAAACAAGCATCTTATTAGATGTTCTCGGTTAGGAAAGGTCAACACCCCATTCGTTACTGCTGAACTGCAGGGTGAACCGTGTGGCGCAGGATTCTGCTGCTGCTCCAGAGGGATTGTCTATTAAAGGGCTCGCCATGCAGATGTTTTTCTGCATGAAGCACACATGGGTGATGAAATTCTATTCATTTCCTGAGATGAAGTGTCAGAAAGAGATTTTTCTGCACGTCATTCAGTCCAAAAACAGTCGACCCATAACAGTGGGCTATTCATTCAGGCTTTGCTTAAATTTAATGCAAATTTGGATGTTTCTCAAAGTCTGTATAGCAGTAGTTAAAATGACTCTGAAATATTTCCTATTATTATTATCCTTCAGAATAAAAAAAATAAATAATAATATTTGGGTGTTTAATTTTTGTCAAACGTTTTCAGGACATTTACAATTTTTACATAAAATAGTGGAATCTCAATGTTTGGTATCCAAAATACAATTAAATAGATATTAAAAGATTTATTCATACATTTAAATATTTATTTATATATTAAAAATTATGTAAATATTATTTGAATTTACCATAGCAAGTTTGATTTGGATTTATACACAATAAAATATTCTGTCACTGCAGTATTTAAATACTATTAAATATTGTATGATTATTTCATATGTCTGTTTAGATGATTATCTAAATGTAATGCTGAATTGTTTTCATATATTTAAAAAAAATAAATGAAAAAAAAATTGAAAGTGTTGGTCTGGAACAAGGATAAACAATACAATCTATAAATACTGTTAAAAGCATGTAGCAAAAATGTACCAAAAACCTATGTTGAAGGCATGATAAAAAAAAAAAGTAGGGATGCACCGATACCACTTTTTCCAGTACTCGCCCGATACCGATATTTTTATTGCATTTGTACATTTTTTAAATATTGGGTACAGAAACCAAAAGAGTATGTATAATGTTAGTTGGTTAACTTCATTTATCAAATAGATACAGTCAAACCAAAATTTATTCAGACCCCTTCAACATTTCTCACATTATCACAGTTTATTCGCCATAGTATCGAAAATGGTAATAAAATATGACAAGAACTCAGAGTTAAACTGTGTCAGAACAAATTCATCTTGATAATGTTAGATAATTTTGATAGAAAGGTATGTAATAGATTACAATCAACCAAAAATTGTTAGTATGACATTATTTACACAACTATCAATACTTAGTTGGGCAACCTTTAGCCTTAATGACAGCATATAGTCTCCTGGGCATGCTGTCACCCAGCTTCATGAAAACCCCAACTTCAATGTT